ATGTTCCCTGTATCGTTGCCTTATGTTCCCTGTATCGTTGTCTAATGTTCCCTGTATCGTTGCCTTATGTACCCTGTATCGTTGTCTTATGTTCCCTGTATTGTTATCTCATGTTCCCTGTTTTGTTGTGTAAAGTTATCTGTATGATTATTTCCGACCAAGCCCTTGCTAATGTTCCCTTTATGGTTGTTCCCTGCTTCCGTACTATGTATGATTGTTTTCGACTTATGTTATGTTGCTGCTTTAGTTTCCTGTATGTTTGTTTTCGACCAGTGCTATTTGTCCGCGATATTGACGTTTTAATACTAGCGTTCCCTTATCAAGTCACTGTGTTCCAGCGTTGTTTCAAGATTTTTACATCTCATCTTTATAGCGGCGTGTCTGGTTGCATAATTTGGTAATAAAACATCGTGTCGATCTCACGCGCTCGAGTTTATCGTATCATATTTCCCTTATTCGGAGCTTCTCTAGAACAATTTTGTACAACAGCCCCCACAACCTAGTTCCGAATGACGCAAGCAGGCGACAACAATGGTGCGTCAATCTGATTATATCCAATGTTGTGTTATTTAGGTGTTTTTCCGGGGGGTTTCCGGGGTTTTTTTCCGGCATAATAAGAAACAAAGAATCGTGTTTCCCTACAGTAAGGGTAATACATGTAGAATGTAATGAAGATTGACCGTGTTACAGTATATAACACAATCGTACCTTTTTCGAACGATTTGTACATTGTTGCAACGATGACAAGAGTTTTTGTTTTCGTTCATCAATATAAGCAGATATCCCTCGTTCATAACAACAGCGTATCCTCTTTTTGGTCCGGGCAGCAGGGCGGCGTCAGTCTCACTTACACGGGTCGTCACCCGTCCCCCCGAGCCTCGGCTCTACTTTCACCTACAAAGTATAGAGGTCATTATTCAGCTATCACCCCCCAATTAACATTAGGTTTCCTTTCCTTATCGAACGCACCCTCAAAGTTAGTAGAGGCGTGTATAATTTCACAGTAGTGTAGTTCAGGCCAGGCGTGACCGGCTCTGTACACACAGATACACTAACGTATCATCTAAACAGTTTGATACGGTCTTCTTACGTCTACCGTGTTGATATGATCATCTTACGTCTGTTGGTCTTTAGCCATTAGATATACTCATTGTACTGATTACTAGATATACATTGACACTTCACTTTTAAACAGACATGCAGAGAGGAAATATTTGTTTCGTGTTTCAAACCAGTTCTGGTTCGGTTACAACTGTCTCTGATTTATAAAAAAAAACAACCCAGATAATGTGTCTAGGTTACAAGCGCTCCACAATACTTTTATCCACTACATGCATATGTAAGTGCTGAACAAATCCATTTTTCTTTGAGCACTGTATTTCAAATGGGAGACAATTCTTTTGTTTTACGTGAAAAGTGTTCAACAATACTATTGATCGATTTATGTAATAAGTGTTCAACAATATGTTTGATCTCTATAAATTGAGTGTTCAACAACACAATATTTTATATACATTTGTACGTATAAATGTTCAACAATACAATATTGTATATACATTTGTACGTATAAGTGTTCAACAATACAATATTGTATATACATTTGTACGTATAAGTGTTCAACAATACAATATTGTATATACATTTGTACATTTACGTATAAGTGTTCAACAATACAATAGTGTATATATATTTGTACGTATAAGTGTTCAACAATACAATATGTTATATACATTTGTACGTATAAGTGTTCAACAATACAATATTGTATATACATTTGTACGTATAAGTGTTCAACAATACAATATTGTATATACATGTGTACGTATAAGTGTTCAACAATACAATATTGTATATACATTTGTACGTATACGTGTTCAACAATACAATATGTTATATACATTTGTACGTATAGGTGTTCAATTATACAATATTGTATATACATTTGTACTTATACGTGTTCAATTATACAATATTTTATATACATTTGTACGTATAGGTGTTCAATTATATAATATTGTATATACATTTGTACGTATAAGTTTTCAACAATATAATATTTTATATACATTTGTACGTACAAGTTTTCAACGATACAATATTGTATATACATTTGTACGTATAAGTGTTCAACAATACAATCTTTTATATACATTTTTACGTATAAGTTCAACAATACTTTTGTTCTATATAAATTAAGTGTCCAACAAATACAATATTTTATATACATTTGTGCGTATAAGTTTTCAACAATACAATCTTTTATATACATTTTTGCGTATAAGTTCAACAATACTTTTGTTCTATATAAATTAAGTGTCGAACAATACAATATTTTTATATACATTTGTACGTATAAGTGTTCAACAATACTTTTGTTCTATATAAATTAAGTGTTCAACACAAAATTGTTCTATATAAATTAAGTGTTCAACAAAAAAAAAAGTTCTTTATATTGCAAGTGTGCAATAGTGTTCGTACATAATGTAGTTTGTTGTTAGTACACAAAATATATTAACTGTAAACAACCGGTGAAGTCCAGTGTGGACCTGTGTACTACCGGTTTTAGTCAGGTACAGGAACCAACCGTCCAGTGGAACTTTCTATAACAAAAGTGAAAAGCAATTGTTTGTTGCGATCAACAACATGGTGACTCAATGCTACGAATACAGCCTTGTAATTTGGTTTTCAGTTGATGTTTCGATTAGTGTCGTGTCGGGTCGAGTGGTAATCAGACTTGTCGGGGTTATAAGGCTGTCGGTGTACCACCATACGTACAGGTACAGTGTCACTAACAGCTAACTCTGCCACGCCCATTGAGCTGATGTCAGCGACTGTCTGATGTGTACTCGCGTGTCAGGCCTCCTATCCGATTGGTCCACGGCACAAGGGGCGGGCCCTAACTCTACAACCACTTGTGGATCGTAAGATCTACAACAAGCGATCTACAACAAGCGAACACGAACTAACGAGAGTGCTGGATACACGTCTAAACACTTCTCTGTTTAACCGTGGCTATGTGACCTAACATACTACACGGATTACACAACTGTGGACAGAAATGAACTGTGTTGTCAGTGGCCCTGTGACCCCAGGGCTAAGTGTTTGATGGCCGTCCCTTCCCCCCGGGCCGTCTCCCCACCCTACTACCCGTGACATGGCCGTACCCAGGGGACTGTACGTGCTGTTTCTGCTAGCCATATGTGAAGGATTTGAGCATGTCTGTCAACAATGTGACTGTTTCGTTAGGTAAGTCTACCTGTACTTATAACTGTGGACCTGTTCCTTTCAAGTGAAATATACTTTAAACTTGTAATTCCTATTTCCCCTTTACAGAAGTCAACCGCGGACTTAGATTTCGTTCTTCTACACCTAAACGTGTTTCCGGCCGAAAGTTTTTGCATGCGTTTTTTTCATGATTAAATGTATCTATATATCAGACTGTCTGCTTTGGTCTACCTTTATTTAGTGCACCTGTGTGATGCTAATTTCTACCTGGACGATAACCAGTGTATCGTACAGGTGACACTGCCCTAGGGCCCGTCATCATACAGATTAGGTAGGTAATTTATTCAAGGAATTTAAATGTAGGTAACACATGGCGGCGATGATTTGAATGTAGGTAATGTATGGGCTGAAAAAGGGAATGACAGTACAGGGCCAACGGTACCTCAGTCGCCCGGGGCCAACCGTACCTCAGTCGCCCGGGGCTTACCGTACCTCAGTCGCACTTGTTTGTTGAAGATTCGTGTTTTACACAAATAATCGGTTGCTTTAATCTCAGCAGAGGGTACGCAGGCCGTGCTAATGTGATTTGACTACAGAAGATTAAATCGGGGAAATGTGGAGAGAGCTTTAAGTGGGATAAGGGTCGGAGCTTTATCGGACTGCCATCTCTAACTCCCGGGGGAGCCATTGTGGGTATCAGTGCTGGCTTCCAATTAGTCCAAACCAGTGTATATGGGCGAGTTAATCCCCGAAACCGCTTTTTGAGACGACGAAACCCTGTTTAATAGTAATACGTGTCAAACCAGGCTGTCCTGTGTCCAGAGTGATCGTCAATATATACCCCGTTTTCAGATAAATGCACAATTCTCAGAGTTGTTGTCACTGACCTTTTCAGTATGTCAGTCTGAGCACTTCTTGGACCCCATCGCGAGACAGTCATACACGACCGTCTCACCAGTGTAAGCAGTATTTTCGGCAATGTCCGTATATCAATAATCAGGTCCAGTACACTCTGCCGATTGAGCTATATAGCTGTAAAGACCTATAATAGCTCTATTGACCTATCTGGAATAGGTCTTTTGAGCTATTTTCAAGTGATTTTCTTTTTTTAAAGAAAACGAAACAAAGTCGCTTTTAAAAGAAGATTGTACCATTAGGTTGATAACAAAAGACATTAAATATAAGTATTCTTTGAAAAAAATAATGATGTAAAAAAATCGGAAATTTTACAATTATGAAAAATGAAAATAAACATCTAACTGTATGCTCTTTGTAGTCAACTTTACCATAAATATTATTGTTTTATCAATTATTGCTTTAATTAAATGAAATTTGAAATCTGAGAAAATATAGCTCAATATAGCTATAATTTATAGGTGTATATAGCTATATAGGTCTTTATAGCTATATAGCTCAATCGGCAGAATGTACTGGACCTGATAATCGCCCTCCAAGTTTGGTTAAAGCAGTTTTCGTTTATGGTCAGATATAGCGGATTAGTTCGTGTCCTTATTTTAGGCCGAATGCCCTCCTACAGGTTAACAGATAACCAGCAGTAGCCCCAATGTGTAGCATGCGAGGCGACCAATGTGGCCCCACAGATAGGGTTTTTTCTGTGTGGTTGACTCGTGTTTGATTGACGCGTGTACCACTACGCTATGTAATTGTCTGGTGTATCACTACGCTATGTGATTGACTCGTGTACCACAACGCTATGTGATTGACTGGTATACCAACACGATATGTGATTGTCTGGTGTATCTGGTATACCAACACGATATGTGATTGTCTGGTGTATCTGGTATACCAACACGATATGTGATTGTCTTATATATGATCGAATCGTGTACCACAACGCTATGTGCTTGACTCGTGTACCACAACGCTTTGTGATTGACTCGTGTACCAACACGCTATGTGAGTGACTCGTGTACCACAACGCTTTGTGATCGACTCGAGTACCACAACGCTATGTAATTGACTCGTGTACCACTATGCTATGTGATTGACTCGTGTACCACAACGCATTGTGATTGACGCGTGTACCACAACGCTATGTGATTGACTGGTATACCAACACGCTATGTGATTGACTCGTGTACCACAACGCTTTGTGATCGACTCGTGTACCACAACGCTATGTGATTGACTGGTATACCAACACGCATTGTGCTTGACTCATATACCACCACGGTATGTGATTGACTCGTGTACCACAACGCTTTGTGATTGACTCGAGTAGCACAACGCATTGTGATTGACTCGTGTACCACAACGCTATGTGATTGACTGGTATACCAACACGCATTGTGATTGACTCATATACCACCACGCTATGTGATTGACTCGTGTACCACAACGCTTTGTGATTGACTCGTGTCCCAACACGCTATGGGATTGACTGGTACTCCAACACGCTATATGATTGTCTGGTGTACCACAACGCTGTGTGATTGACTCGTGTACCAACCCGCTATGTGATTGACTCGAGTAGCGCAACGCATTGTGATTGACGCGTGTACCACAACGCGTTGTGAGTGACTCGTGTACCACAACGCTGTGTGATTGACTCGTGTACCACTACGCTATATAAGATTGAATCGTGTACCACTACGCTATGTGATTGACTGGTATACCAACACGCTATGTGATTGACTGGTATACCAACACGCTATGGGATTGACTGGTACACCAACACGCTATATGATTGTCTGGTGTACCACAACGCTATGTGATTGACTCGTGTACCACAACGCTTTGTGATTGACTCGAGTACCACAACGCTATGTAATTGACTCGTGTACCACAACGCTATGTGATTGACTCGTGTACCACTACGCTATGTGATTGACTGGTATACCAACACGATATGTGATTGTCTGGTGTACCAACACGATATGTGATTATCTGGTGTACCAACACGATATTTTATTGTCTTGTGTACCAAAACGATATTTTATTGTCTGGTGTACCAACACGATATGTGATTGTCTGGTGTACCAACACGATATGTGATTGTCTGGTGTACCAACACGATATGTGATTGTCTGGTGTACCAACACGATATGTGATTGTCTGGTGTACCAACACGATATGTGATTGTCTGGTGTACCAACACGATATGTGATTGTCTGGTGTACCAACACGATATGTGATTGTCTGGTGTACCAACACGATATGTGATTATCTAGTGTACCAACACGATCTGTGATTTTCTGGTGCACCAACACGATATGTGATTGTCTGGTGTACCAACACGATATGTGATTGTCTGGTGTACCCACACGATATGTGATTGTCTGGTGTACCCACACGATATGTGATTGTCTGGTGTACCAACACGATATTTGATTGTCTGGTGTACCAACACGATATGTGATTGTCTTGTGTACCATCACGATATTTTATTGTCTGGTGCACCAACACGGTATGTGATTGTCTTGTGTACCAACACGAGTTTTTATTGTCTGGTGCACCAACACAATATGTGATTGTCTGGTGTACCAACACGATATGTGATTGTCTGGTGTACCAACACGATATGTAATTGTCTGGTGTACCAACACGATATGTGATTGTCTGGTGTACCAACACGATATGTGATTTTCTGGTGTTCCAACACGATATGTGATTGTCTGGTGTATCACTAAGCTATGACAGATAGCTTCCTAAATAATTTCTGTCTCTCGATAAAAAATATACTGTATGTTTTATGTACATTGCAAGTAAGTAAATAAAAACCAAAGTGACACTATCTGTAAAGTCCCCGTACATATCGTGAGATAAGCTGGGAACCTGTGAGTTGGTCGACGTCTCGGGGATTACAATTTATACTGTTTACAATCTCATTTGCTAACTGTTCACCAGTAAGTCGTTATTCCGTACAAATAAAAGTTTGTTACTACGAGTGTGTTGCCGGTCGGCTCATTCGAGGCTGTGCAGTTTTGTGTTGCTCCCCCGTCTCCCGAGCTGATACTCCACAGCTGGTTACGACTGTACACACACCGATATTTATCTTAGCTCCACATTTTCTCACAGTGCCTTTTGGGGTGTTTATGTGTATATGAAGCATGTATACATTGATGACAGCTGTACCTGTTCCCAGCCCCACGTCACTGGTGAACCCCCTCCCGGAGGGACATTTCTTCGGGGTTAGCAATGGACATTCTAAATTACTTCGAATCTTCATAATGATCAGTGTTGCCGTGCAAACATACATTAATATACAAACAAGGCTATGGGCGGGCCAGGACCTGACGGATAGTGCCCCTGACATTGGTGGACATCACCGAATCTGTGGCGGGATCTCTGCTTCTGTGGCTGTACCATGGGAAAGTCGGGTTCACGTGGTACTTACTTCGTTCTTGTCCCTCCGAAGAGTCACAAAGCCCCCGCGGGAGTCACAAAGGCCCCGCGGGAGTCTCAAAGGCTCCGTGGGAGATAAAAAAAAACACGTTAGAAATATAATTAGGCATTAAAGATACTCTACCGTATTTCAAATCAGCTTTTAATATATCCTTCGTGAACAGCCGTTATGTTTATTAACCAGATTTTTAACTAATCTCAATTTAACGACACGAAACAGGTTTCATGTAAGTTTTGAAACACAATAACGATAAAGTAATTTTACAAAACATAAATACCATGACAACTCAAATAAACGGTATAAGTATTACTCATGGCCTATTATACCAAACCTATCATTATCCTCGTAAAATAAACTTTAAACCCCACGATACAGGATTACAGAAAGACACGTTTACTTTTGTCTTCGCCTCAATGCCAAAATTATATCCGCATTTGAGCTAAGTACAAGCCAGGGATTAGCTGGTACATACCCAAGTGTTAGCTGGACATACCCAGTATTTACCGTCAACATCTAAGTTCATGTTATTGTATGAAGGGTACAATATGTAAACCGATTCGTTAGGGGCCTTAACGAGCTGTCCCCCTCCCCGTCCCGCGTTTTCTGTGTGCCGTACCACTTGACTTGGGACGGCTAATCCCCACTTTCTGCGGACATCGCCAATGACCCGCGTGGCCTCGCTTTACACGCGGGGTGTAAGGTGTCAACTGTTCCTTTTTATGGTCGATAATAAACATTTTTGGGGCCAACGATCACCAGCTCCAGTCTCCCACTCTGTAGAAACAGAGACGGTCACACCATGGCGGGGTCACGCGTTCGGATGGTTTTGGAGGGGAAAGGGGGTCTCGTTGGGTGGCCCAGTAAATGTCAGGATACCGGGCAAATGGTGCCAAAGAAAACAATATGTGTCGTTATTGGTTCCTTTTGGATGGCTCGACAACCGACAATGCGTATTCGAATGTACTAAATGTTTGAAATACCAAGTGCGGGTCAAGTCAAAGTAATGTTTTAGAATCGACAACAGGGATTATAACAAGCACGCGCATTACCACATAATGAAGTAAGACATTGCCTTTTTGATGCCACCAGTACGTGTCAAGAATGGAGAATGTCTTTGAACACGGGCATCTGAGGATTTGTAAGTCGGAAACAACGCATAGGGGTTTATACATGCAATCAATAGCGGTGGCATTTTTAGCGAAAGTTGATGTTAAACCCTAAAATATCTAACATTAGCCTGAACAAATCAGTCGTAACAAGAACGGTAACAAAGCGTCGAGTCCATGTGCTTTGAATAGAGTGGACTCGCGTCTCTTCTCTGGACGTTTTTACTTCCTTAGATGTAGGAAGCTTATTAGACTGGCCCCGTCTCTAGAATGTGGAATTATTAAAAAACAAAAAAACTATAAAAAAAAATTGATCACTTAAATGTCTGATCCTCAGTTCTAAACTAGGGGGAGAGTAAAATGCAGGGCCGTTTTCGTTTAAACGATTGAACCGGTCGGACCACACTTGTTCGTTCATTAAATAAGATCGGACCTAGTAATCTGATGCCGCTTTCAGCGGGCCTTGACAAAGCCTTGCAAGGCCTGCGTAAACATTTGCATGTCCGCCAACATTTATATTCCGAAATTTTTACATTTACAAACGGACTAACCGGTTGTTCCACATAAACGAACAGGCCCCAGTTGAGACACTTCTTCATAAAAAAACCTTCGGGGCTGGTAGTTAGCCAAGCTTATATAAATAGGTTAATTGCGTGTCTTTTACCGCAAGCGCGCTTTACTCGGTTTCCATTAAAAATGAACTGTTTCATATGCGATGAAAGTTCAGTTTTGTTATAAAATATGATAGCAATGTCGATAATGAGAAGATCGTCTATGCGTGAAGGCTGGTGTGTTGTAGTGGAAGCCATTACAGGCCCATTATGCCCCATTAGGAGCCAATTTAACATTCCCGGGTAGATGGCAGGTCTGTGTGATATGAATCACTGCGGTGTCGACAGACATTTCTGATTCAATATTCGATCACAATTCAGCATACCTTTTGAGAATTTTAATTGCCCAAGTACATACGAGTGCTGTTTTACCGTAGATCTACCTCGAATACAGGTGTGGTGTATATCTACCTGTCCATGTGCGTGTCCACTTACCCTAACCTGCTACCTGTTGGGTGACGATCACTTAAAACTACAGCCCGAGTTTGCTGTAAACACGGGTTGTTTCTACAAACTACACCTACTTGAGGTTGTTTGGAAGACAGTCCTGATCACAACATGCTTGTCTGCTCACACTTGGTGCTGACAGGCCGGGCACGAGTTAATGGAAGCTGATGTTGTTTCGTGATTTAGATGTATTTTGTGCACTGCAATAGCCCCTCCCTAGGACCAGTAACCCCTTCACCAGCAAATATCTGCTAAGAGATCGAGGAAGCAAAAGCAAATACATGTATATGATGTACCCTTTAGTTAACATGCTGAATTCCACAAGTGAACAGGTAGCATGAGATAATCCTAGACTATTAAACCTATGTCAGGGATAGAATAATCAACACGAGACGTCGCAAAGCGTGAAATTATCTATGTAACATCTTACATGAAATACCTATGTATTATATATCGTACAGGTATCTAGTTGGTGTAAGTCGAGCTGTCCTGTGCTATGTGATGTATATACCCTGGTGACAGTTTGGGTACAACGCCTTAGACTGTCTCTATGCCAGGTTTATAGTATTCCCCAATACTAGACGACCTATATGTCACGTAACAGCGTCCATTCCGTGCTTAAACTCAAATTCCTGTATTAATCTAAATTTCCATTTACAACATGACCATAAACAGCCCAGCATGTGCTTGTTCTTTTGCCTATGCAAGCTTTAAGTGTGACTAGCTGTTGTATCAACTGGCCAGTACGTGATGATAGATGAGACAAGCCCTTGCCTCTGTAAGTCGGTATGGTAATCACAAGTATCGACCTACTTGTTACCACGACTGCCCTCTCTGTGGAGAGGTACATTTTAAAAACACAATCATTTCAAAAACCCGACAACAATTCCCCTGTAAGACGTTTTAAATACAAATGCTTTAGTACAAAGAATTTCACGTTCTCTGTCAATTTAGTATACTCTTATGAATATTTGATAACGGGACTAATCTGTATGTAAAAAAATGCCAGGTTTCTAATTAACCTACTAGAATTACAGTTTTCCGACTAAGAAAATTAGGGTTGATTTAAAAAAAACGCGCCGACGGAATGCATTTGGAGTGTTGTATAGATATATGATTCTGTGGATAGTTCGTACATAAGCACCTGTTTACAAGCTGGCTCCGTGTCCGACTATTTGTTATTATATCGCCAATATTTGTTTACATGTCCAATCTTCTTTGTTTTAAAGATCCGATAATTTCACACTTAGTTCAAGTAACGTCATTGCCAAACATAGAGTGAGACGTGTGTATATACTCTACCCAATGTTTGACCGCTAACAAGGGTAAATATATTGTATGTAGGTTGACGTTTATATTTGACGTTGTCTGGAAGTATTCTGTGTGGTATGTTAACTAGTATTTACCTGTAACAAAGGTGGGGGAAGGGGGATGTGTGGTTAAATTGGACTTTAGAACCGCAAATATCCGTCCTGTCGACAAACCGGATCTTCTACTAATATCGGGACTGTGTCGTGGTTTATGGGCTTAATAATCAAGTGTAATAAATTCTCTAATGAGTTTTTGAAAGCTCACAAGACCATACACGTGACAGATAAATCCGTCCGATGTCTGTACGACACGGACTGGGTATTGCCGTGGGGTTTCTGTTAGGGACCGAGGAAAATCACTTATTATAAAAACGCTTCCGTAACCCAGGTGTGCACGGACACTCCGGAATTGGCGATACGCGGCTTTACCTGCTATCTAAACATTGTTAAGTTCAGCTGATTACATGTCATTTATCTAACCTTGCCTTTATTATACTTGAGAATTCTTCATGTTATCTGTTCAGGGTCGGTAGGAGTCTTTCGATCTTTGCCCAGCATCTCGAGGTAATCAAGCGTGTTATTGACATAGTTATCTGTTATCTCTAGATCGACGAGACGATAACGAGACGCTCTGTAAATGATAATGTAACCACGTGCATTATATTGAACTCAATTGAACATGTTTGTTAAATAAAATAACAGTCCAGTAAAATCTTGAATATGATGACACTGCGGCGTAGTAAACCATAGTACGAGGGGTCGCATCGCCATCTGTAAGACATTACTCGCCCCATTCCTCCTTTCTCCTCCTCCTCCTCCCCCACCACAACTACACGTGTCCGTGCTTATCTCCCCGGGGCCAGACCTGGTGCCACTGGAGATACTTATCTCCATAAAAAACAGAAACACAAACCCCGCCGACAGTTCCGCGAAGAAAGATTCACTTTTAGTATCATTTTTCAACCTTAAATCAAGTATGTAAATCTGCGCCGATAACAAGCCTGATGCGGTCGGATTGATGGCCATGCGTGAAACTGGGAGGATCGCGTCACGAGCGCGACCTGTTTATCGGCTACATTTTCCTATTTGCACGGCACCGTACGTGTGGAGATATCGAAATTCAGATAGCCAAAACATTTTATTGGTATTTTTTGTTCATTTGACGTAGTATCAAGGTTGATTCTCTTATCTCGAATATAATCAGCAAAACTTAGCTTGTGTCGGTGTGTATATGTACTGTTCTCTCAATAGATGTATCTGGGCCAGCAAGACTTCCGATAGAAATGGCATAAATAAACATGTAAATAAAAACAACATAATAAGGTTTTTATTTCTTTATCATTGTAGTGAGGGTTCCAAGGAGAGGGGTGTACGAAATATCAAACCTAGGTGCAACGAAGGGTCTATTCGATGGAGAAATCCAAACGGGGGACTGCGCGTGCAGCTGCACGCCGGCTATACCTCGGACTTCCGGGCATGCTTTGCCGTGGACGCCACAAATATTGCAGTGAAGGTATCCCAGGAATTTGTGATCAATTCCGATAACCAGATATCCAGTCACCGGTCGTCATATCTGCATGCTGTTGCTATAACGACAAACAGGACAAAAGAAATATGCATTCCCTCCTCATCGTCATATCCATCTGTGTTACTATATTTAGAGACAGAAAGATTGCAGCACCAATCGGGTGTACAGAAAGTGACATTCCATTACGTCATGGAACCAATTAGGTCGAACAGACTGCTCTACAACCCTATGGAAGAAGGTAAGTTTTCATCACCACAGTGTCAGTACGTCATTTATTACCGATATTCGTACATACTCTTGGACTAAACATGTGTAACGTACCTGTTACTAGAAACGATGCTAGGTAATAGGTAACTGGTATCGTTAGATTATCTCAGATCTTAAAAACAGATCGAGTTTCCAAACAGAAGTCTGACTGTGATGTTTTCTGCAATAACTCTTACTTATGCTGGAGTTAAAATAAAAACACCTCCGAATGCCCCTTGTTGGTTAGTATTACGAGAGACCTTGGCCTGGGTAGATCCTCAGCCATCCAGCTAACCTGTTAGTATCGTCATTGATTGTGGACCGTGAGTGGCACCTGATGTGTGTGCGAGAGAACAAGAGGGTTCCTGTCCGAACCCGTTCACCGTAAGGTGTGAGCTCCATACATCTAGGTACAGCTTGTCAATGGTGGTATTGTTACGCTACGCTGTCGTTACGACACGTTCCCATCAGCGCACGCCTGTATAAACCGCGTGGGGCAGGGACAGTGTGAACAGAGCCCAATCGAATCTTAGACGGTATGGCCTTTCATCGGCTATTCTTTATACACCTTTCTTCGTATCGCAAACTGAACGTCGGTCAATAGAAGGCGATACAAGTGTCATTCTCTCCGCCACAATCACGCCGAACTTATTCAATAGAAAATAAAAAGCCACAAAGGTATTCATACGCGTGTTCGGTAAATAGCTGCCGAGGCTCCGCATTCCTGCGTGTTTTTACTTGTATCAGAACTTAACAACAGCAAAATCATCCGAAAGTAAAAAAAAAAAAACTTATCTCGGTCTTAGAACGATTACCACAATGTTCCGTGGAATCACAGACTTGGATAGCATTTTTAAATAACAGTGGTTCGTCTGTGCAGGTAAATGACAGAGTAGTCAATCCCCGGCACGGAGAGGAAACATTTGTATGACGAGGGGTACATTGAATGCTTACTAAAGATTACTATTAACATATGTTTAGAGACGTGTCCCCGCTATATGACCCGTATATTAATGGTCCCAATTCTAGCGACTGACTTTCATCATAGCTGGAGACTGTTATTACTGATGTGGTCTGTAATGTAACGTGTTCTATGACTTGAGCTACAAAGACGTGAACTTTTATTAATATTTGATTATGTTTGCACGTGTTTTAGAGCTAACCACCGTGACGGCTTATCTCGCGAGACATCTGAAACCACAGGTGCCAGACTATATCTCTTATTATGCTTGAGGATACATCTTCTGTTAGACAGACTATATCCCTAATCATACTTGAACATTCATCTCCTATTTGACAGAATACTTATTATGCTTGAGGATACATCTTCTGTTAGACAGACTATAGCCCTAATCATACTTGAACATTCATCTCCTATTAGACGGACTATATCCCTAATCATACTTGCACATACATCTCCTATTAGACAGACTATATCCCTGGAGACTGTTATTACTGATGTGGTCTGTAATGTAACGTGTTCTATGACTTGAGCTACAAAGACGTGAACTTTTATTAATATTTGATTATGTTTGCACGTGTTTTAGAGCTAACCACCGTGACGGCTTATCTCGCGAGACATCTGAAACCACAGGTGCCAGACTATATCTCATATTATGCTTGAGGATACATCTTCTGTTAGACAGACTATAGCCCTAATCATACTTGAACATTCATCTCCTATTTGACAGACTATATCCCTAATCATTCTTGCACATTCATCTCCTATTAGACAGACTATATCCCTATTTATACTTGTACATTCATCCCCTATTAGACAGACTATATCCCTAATCAGACTTGCACATTCATCTCCTATTAGACAGACTGTATTCCTAACCATATATATCCCTAATCATACTTGAACATTCATCTCCTATTTGACAGACTATATCCCTAATCATACTTGAGGATACGTCTCCTATTAGAAAGAATATATCCCTAATCATACTTGCACATTCCTCTCCTATTAGACAGACTATATCCCTACTCATACTTGAGCATACATCTCCTATTAGACAGACTATATCCCTAATCATACTTGAACATTCTTCTCCTATTAGACATACTATATCCCTAATCATACTTGCACATACATCTTCTATTAGGCAGACTATATCCCTAATCATACTTGAGCATTCATCTCCTATTTGACAGACTATATCCCTAATCATACTTGAGCATACATCTCCTATTAGACAGACTATATCCCTAATCCTACTTGCACATTCATCTCCTATTAGACAATTACTGATGTGGTCTGTAATGTAACGTGTTCTATGACTTGAGCTACAAAGACGTGAACTTTTATTAATATTTGATTATGTTTGCACGTGTTTTAGAGCTAACCACCGTGACGGCTTATCTCGCGAGACATCTGAAACCACAGGTGCCAGACTATATCTCATATTATGCTTGAGGATACATCTTCTGTTAGACAGACTATAGCCCTAATCATACTTGAACATTCATCTCCTATTTGACAGACTATATCCCTAATCATACTTGAGCATTCATCTCCTATTTGACAGACTATATCCCTAATCATTCTTGAACATTCTTCTCCTATTAGACAGACTATATCCCTAACCATGCTTGCACATTCATCTCCGATTAGTCAGATTATATCCCTAATCATACTTGAACATTCTTCTCCTATTAGACATACTATATCCCTAATCATACTTGCACATACATCTCCTATTAGACAGACTATATCCCTAACCATGCTTGCACATTCATCTCCGATTAGTCAGATTATATCCCTAATCATACTTGAACATTCATCTCCTATTTGACAGACTATATCCCTAATCATACTTGCACATACATCTCCTATTAGGCAGACTATATCCCTAATCATACTTGAGGATACGTCTCCTATTAGACAGACTATATCCCTAATCATACTTGCACATTCATCTCCTATTAGACAGATTATATCCCTAATCATACTTGCACATTCATCTTCTATTAGACAGACTATATCCCTAATCATGCTTGAACATTCATCTCCTATTAGACAGACTATATCCCTATTCATACTTGCACATACATCTCCCATTAGACAGAATATATCCCTAATCATACTTGAACATTCATCTTCTATTAGACAGATTATATCCCTAATCATACTTGCACATTCATCTTCTATTAGACAGACTATATCCCTAATCATGCTTGAGCATACATCTCCTATTAGACGGACTATATCCCTAATCATACTTGAGGATACGTCTCCTATTAGACAGACTATATCCCTAATCATACTTGAGCATACATCTCCTATTAGACAGACTATATCCCTAATCATACTTGAACATTCTTCTCCTATTAGACAGACTATATCCCTAATCATACTTGAACATTCATCTCCTATTAGACAGACTATATCCCTATTCATACTTGCACATTCATCCCCTATTAGACAGACTATATCCCTATTCATACTTGCACATTCATCTCCTATTAGACAGACTGTATTCCTAACCATCCTTCAAGTTTCAAGTTTTATTCAAACTTTGGGCCATTGGCCTATCAGTTACAATACATATTATACACAAATCATGGACAATGTACAGAGGATGAAAACAATCATATTCCATTATAATACCCTTAATTTGTTTATTTTCCTAGTAAACACAATTTTTTGATATTATGGACAGTCAATAACTGGACGATTTTAAACACAGATGTTTTTTTCAAATAATAGCTTTTGATAAAACGAGATCTGAGATTTTGGAATTTAGAACAGACCAATACAAAATGAAATTCGTCCTCTACTTCAGAGGGGGAGTTACACTGTGAACGATATCTACGTTCTCTAGGTATATTATTATGCCTTCCAACTTCCATAGCTAAAGAATGGGTAGATGTACGTATTCGAGTTAAACAAATGCGATATTTCTTCGGTATATATTTTGTGAGGTAAAATTGTAATGTTTCTCCAAAATCTATTATATGTTTATACAACAAACATTTTGGACTTATTCATACATCTTTTGGTATACGGTACTGTCATTGCGTCATGTCCGTGGTATTTATTTCTACGTCACAATTGGAGGTATTACGGTATTTACGACAGAACACGATAGCCCACTGTGTCCGACCTGTTCCGAGTCCTGGGCTACTTTGGTAGGCCATGCTTGATTTAGATTTAGATCGTGTTCGAAGACATACTGATGTACATATGATATCTTTCCACACTTGTGTTAAGGGTTGAATCGTCACGCGACAGGTACCCTTTACTATCCGCCGACACGCTCACGTGGTAACTCGTCAGATGAAACGGTGTTGGCTGAGCGAGCCCATAGCCTTACTCCGTAAACTTACACTTACACGACGCGACATGGGTCTTATGTTAAAACCACATAGTTCAGGTCGGACCACGTCGGGTAAGAAGTACATGCTATAAAAAATTGTCGGAAACAGAAGTACACAGCGTGATCACGCCTTTCTATCTTTTCTATCTTTTCTATCTAATTTTTATAAACTCATTTTAACTCAATAGTTTCATAAGTTTCGAATGAGTGAGTAGTCCGCGTAAATGACCGACTAAGTTCTCAGTACCCTTGATGTACTCTGATCTGAGGACAGACGGGTAGGGTTTCACAGAGGAAGGCCACCCGTCTGCTCGGGTTACCAGATAGCGCACAGATAGGGCTTTGTCGATTTAATAGTTGTGTGGCCACAATGTAGCCAAGTAAAAGTCACCAGCCCTCTGTCCTTTCTCTACAATAGAGATGAACCCGAATAGAGAGTGTTGCGTGTGTGAGTAGTAGCAGTCACACACAGGTGTGAGGAGGGGGGGGGGGGGGGGGGCCACCAATAACAAGGCTAACGTTTTAAAACAATTCCAAGTACGGAGCGCTCTGTTGTCCTCGATACATCGGTAACTCGATCATTTCTTTGCTGTGTTGTACGAACGCGTGATATCACACGTATGACACACGGAGACAGTGGTAAATGTTATTTCCAGTCGAATCGTTACATCCAAGAAACACTTATAAACTATTAAAAGAAATGTACCGTTCATTAATATTATGATGCAACAAAATAATTGTAATGCCACCAATAGTGTGACAAGTTTGGAAAGTTCACAGATGCTTAGTTGACAATCAATACTCCCATGGCTGATCCATATAAAAGCTGGATTGTTTGCGAGTGGTACAAAATGGTCATTGTTCGTTTCAGAATGCCGTCCATGCGATCCCCGTGAACTCGTCCGAGCCTACTGTTCCAGTGACTTCGGTAAGTATCCAAAACCGACATAAGAGTTTATATACGGTGCTTTTTTTTAACTATCTGATGGCACTAAAGTAACTGAGATACCATGTAATTGCGAGGTGCGAATATGAGGAGATGGGGTAGCGTTCCTCGTGTTCGGGATCGTTTCAGTCACGTTGGAAATATCCGATTTGAGCTGATGAAAGGGCAAATTTCTCCCCCGATAGGACAGACTATCTTGTATTGTAAGAAATAAATTACATTTAGCGCGTGAGACGAGCTAATGGAATCATTTATACAGCCCCCAGAGGGCGCTATTGTACATTTCTAAATTAAAAATTCCACGAGTACAATGACGATGTATGATTTGTGGATTGTGGACAGCCTGATCGGATCAGATGTACAGGGCGGCCGGTAATGTGTGTCTCATATCTGTTTACACAAACAAACAATCAAGATGTCGTGTCCACCACACTCTCCCGGGTATTGTTACCGTGAACTGGACATGTACTGTCAGCAGGGAATGAGATCGTATTCAGACAGAAACCCTATTAATATTGAAACTTTTCATGCGTCTTTTATTCGACAAAGATGATCTCTTGTTGGACACGCCAACGTTGTACATACTTATATGACTATTCGTTCATGTGTGATGATATGAAAATGTCCCTGAAATGAAAAGTTCCCCCCGATTGATCGAAAGTTGTTGTGTCATTTTGTTCATACACCACACACTATTGTATTTGTTGTCTTTTACAGTGGTCACAGGGAAGATGACCGCCGTGACACACTTGGATGACCTTGATCGGACAAAGATGGACGTAGAAGTGACGCGCGTTATACGTCAGAAAGGCCAGCTCTTTACCTATTTTCGGGAGGACCAGTCACTACGAGGATCCATGGTTGCTCCTCGGCATTGCGGAGTTGAATATGGCGTGGGCGATTTCCTGTTTACGGGTTATCTACGCCTTGGCCACATGGCAATTTCTTGTTCGCCATATTTATCGGAATGGAGACAAGTTTTGACGGCGGCGTTAGCAGACGGTACAATGGAGTGTGAAGTTGACTAATTGTTTTGAATATTTCGTCATGTATGCTTCCTGACGGAAAAACAATAAATTTCGTATAAATTACTAAAATGTATTGAAGATGGCAGATGGGCTCACTTGCTCTTATTTGGCTGCGACAGACTGATACATTTCTATTTGGGCATGCCCGTTTCTTGTAATGCTATTGACAAACAGACGGGAAGTATCGAGATGTGCGTGTCTTGTCATGAGAGGTGATTGCGCAGCCTCGCTTCACCAGGACAAATAAAAGTGTGTGGTCTTGTAAGGTTTGACCGTAGCGTCGCACACGATAGCTCATTACGAGTGCTTTCGTGCTTGACTGTGATTGACAGGTTGGAAGGCGTGACCTATCGTTGTTGGTAGGCGTGACCTATCGTGGTTCTACCTGTGGCGTATCTGTGATATACGTAACCTATTATGGTGCAATTAGTAAACAACCGTCAGCGTGGTCACCGGTGTCTCCCCTCCTATAGCGAACAACCGTCAGTGTGATCACCCACACCGGTGTCTCCCCTCCTATAGCGAACAACCGTCAGTGTGATCACCCACACCGGTGTCTCCCATCCTCTTATATCAAATCATATTTAAAACAAAACTTTGTCACGAGACGGTTTATGATTTTGTTATTTTTGTTTATCTGTTATTTTAATATTTGGGATGTTCGAATGGTCAGGAAGAGATTTAATTGATAATGATAATATTATGTGAAATAATATTCCCGAAAGAACAAGGAAATATTAACGGAATTTAGCGGGCCAACGAGATGAGAGAGAGGCTGCCGGTTGTTTACTTTCCCTTTATTGTGACTTTTTGTTGTTGTTGTTGTTGGCGGTGTTAGGGACCAAACCATAATGGTGCATTGTTACCCGGATGTCTTGACATGGCAGAACGTTTATACTTCAGATTCATTCGGCTTCAAAAGTCTGTTCATAAAATTATTTCAACAAAGGATGTTCATTTCATTACAAATTTCATTTGTAAATACCATAGTTCTGAACTATTAACGTTGTTTTTTTTACGAAAATGAGTCTTTAATTAGCATCACGTGTAGTAAATATAGACGGATAGTAAAACATTCAGATCAAACGTGTGTTATCTGTGGGACAGGAAACGTTTATATCCATCCCAAGGTAACTCCTGATAGTAACATTTCTAAGGTCGTTATGTCTGCATGATGAGTGACAAGAAAACGTCACAACATCTACACCTGTCTACTGAACAGGTGAGGGGGCATTTCGGACATCAAAATTCGTGTTTTCATATTTATTTTCGCCTTAGATATCAACAATCTTAGTGGTCAGAGCTGCGATAACTTTGATATCATCACCCATTTTACATCAGATTAGCTTTCGATTTTGGCCTTAAAGGCACAAGGCAGCAATACGATACATTATCGTAACCAAGGGACATAACCGTTGTATTCAAATCTTGTTTAATCAGATTACGTCATCCACTGTAAAACACTGCCGGGTATTGTCCGAACCATATGATGGAGGCTAGATTGAAAATTATATTCGGAATGCCTCGGACAAAACCATTGTATCACTGACATTCGGGGTTGAAAACTCTTCATTTCTTCATTACTTGCTAAGAAAAAAGTTTCCAATGTTGTTGTTGCTTTGCTACTATTTCTAAGTTTTGTATCCGAGTCTTGGAAACAAACAAAAATGTGTTCGACCAAACTAAATGGTTATTGCTTACCTACTAATGTTTATTTTTGTAAGTCTTATTTACGGTCATTGGAAAAATAGAGTCGAGTCATTAGAAAAAATGGACCTGTGCTGTTTAAGATATATATTGTTTAACATAGAGTTTGTCTGCAGACTTCCTTTTTAACATAGAGTTCGTATGCAGACTTCCTGTTTAACATAGAGTTCGTCTGCAGACTTCCTGTTTAACATCGAGTTCGTCTGCAGACTTCCTGTTTAACATAGAGTTCGTCTGCAGGCTTTCTGTTTAACATAGAGTTCGTCTGTAGACTTCCTGTTTAACATAGAGTTCGTCTGCAGACTTCCTGTTTAGCATAGAGTTCGTCTGCAGACTTCCTGTTTAACATTGAGTTCGTCTGCAGACTTCCTGTTTAACACAGAGTTCGTCTGCAGACTTCCTGTTTAACATCGAGTTCGTCTGCAGACTTCCTGTTTAACATAGAGTTGGTCTGCAGACGTTCTGTTTAACATAGAGTTCGTCTGCAGGCTTTCTGTTTAACATAGAGTTCGTCTGTAGACTTCCTGTTTAACATAGAGTTCGTCTGCAGACTTTCTGTTTAACATAGAGTTCGTCTGCAGACTTCCTGTTTGACACAAAGTTCGTCTGCAGACTTCCTGTTTAACACATAGTTCGTCTGCAGACTTTCTGTTTAACATAGAGTTCGTCTGCAGACTTCCTGTTTATCACAGAGTTCGTCTGCAGACTTCCTGTTTAACATTGAGTTCGTCTGCAGACTTCCTGTTTAACATAGAGTTCGTCTGCAGACTTACTGTTTAACATAGAGTTCGTCTGCAGACTTCCTGTTTAACATTGAGTTCGTCTGCAGACTTCCTGTTTAACATAGAGTTCGTCTGCAGACTTCCTGTTTAGCATAGAGTTCGTCTGCAGACTTCCTGTTTAACATTGAGTTCGTCTGCAGACTTCCTGTTTAACACAGAGTTCGTCTGCAGACTTCCTGTTTAACATTGAGTTCGTCTGCAGACTTCCTGTTTAACACAGAGTTCGTCTGCAGACTTCCTGTTGATCGTACATGTATATCAATGTTTAAATGAATTGCTCCAGAAATACTTACGTTTTGTTGTGTATATAAGAGACTTTATATTCAACTTTTAAAGTTGAACAAAATAAAAAGTTATAAATCATAAGATTGCTGTTTTAGTTATTTTGTAATTAGAATGCATGAACCACTTCACCCATGTTGAAGTGGCCTGGCAGGCTCCATCCATACAACTGTGTCGAGCTCTAAAAAATATTAAATAGATATCTTCATTTGTATATAATGTATAAAATTGCTGGACATGAAAAGACTTATTCAATTATGCTACTAGAATTTACCCTGGATCCAGCTCCGCCCCTGGAGACCAAGCCAGTAGGTCATGACGTGGTGACGCTGGGATCCCCACTTTTAACCATCTATACACAATACAAACACATTCATGCTACCAGGAATTGCATCTGGGACAGCCCCCACCCCCGAGTCATTACCTGGAAACAGTAAAGATTCCCACCTTGTAACATAATTAGCTCCCCTGGTCCGAAGGACCATAGTGAGTTTATGCCGTGGCGCAGCGTCCGTCGTCCGTCGTCAACTTTTTCTTTAAAACCTATCTCCTCCTAACGGCAAAGAGGATTTCAACCAAATTCGGACTGAAGCATCAGTAGTGACGGGCAATCATTTCTTAAATAAATGAGGTTGGTGCGACCCCTGAGGCCAGGGGGGCGGGGCCCTGAAGGTTAACTTAGGTAAATTTGCATCAAAACGCATCTCATCCTAAACACCAGACTTAAATAAAACCAGGTGAGCGATACAGATCCAATGGACCTCTTGTTTACAATTTCGGGGCCAGAGCATGTTACCGATTGGTATCTGGTTCAAATATGGTTGAGATCCCCACCATGTTAAAACATAAAATTGATAGGGATAAAGAGAAAAATACAGATATGCTATCAGGATTGGTAATTTCCAACCCGGGGATTTAGTCACATGGTAATAACCTCTCAACCAAATATGCTTTCGCAACATACTTAGTCCATGAGACGTACTATGTTAACGTGTGACCGGGCGGGCGCGATTACCAAGAGAGTTTGGACTAGTTCGATAACCACCATTATACCAATGTGATTTAGGGAGTTATGCCCCTTTAATCAATTGCTGAAATACTTTTCAACGGTTTAACTTCAAATTTCATAGGAAGGTTAATTACTACGAGAGCTTGGACACGTTCGATAACCACTAATATCATATTATAATTTACGGAGTAATTTTCCTTTATTCATTTGTGCTTGATGTCTTTAAACTTCATGGGGAGGTCAATTACCATGAAAGCGAACGAGTTCGATAACCACTATTATCTGACAGTAATTTAGGAAGTTATGCTCCTTAATTCAATTCCTGAAACAGTATTTTCTATCCAAGGAGTAATTCTGTCCAACTTCAAACTTCATGGGAAGGTTAGTTACGGACAGATTTTTGTCGGAACTGATCACTTCCGGTCAGTTGGTTGGTTGGAACTGGCCTGTCGAGAGACACATTAAATAACGACGGTCAGAACTATGTAGCACAGCCAAAGACATATTTACAATAGAAAGATGGAATATTGTTATGTTTTAATATACACTGATGCTATCTCTTCACTAGGTAAGGTGATTCAATCTTGCTCCTTTCATGTGTCTGTGTAAGTTTCGGATTTTTTTAGGAGGGTAATAATTCATTGCGTCAACCTGGCGTCACCCGTCAACCTGGCGTCACCCGTCAAAAGAAAATGAAATTAAAATTACATTATTGTGAATTACAATTTACATCGATAATAATTCACTTTCATCTCCGTCACCAGAATCGTACATTATGAGAGAATTGATGTTCCGATAGGAGTTAATGACAATGTGTCAGTCTCGCTCTGATCAACAAAGGTATACGTCACGGATGACGTAGATATTGTCACGGATACCCAGTTATGTACACACGTTCAGTCACGTGGAACTATAAAAATCTTCCTAAGTCAGAATTGTATGGCTGGTTTCACACAAAATTTAATTTAAAGATATGATATGAAAGCAATAAACTAACTTTATATTTAAATAATATTGTTTTATGGATTGCTTTCGGATGTGAGTCACAATGGTTACTCACAACGTACACGATTTTATATCTTCTCCAATCTAACTAAGTTAGATGGCTGTGATGAATTCGTTTCAATTCAAATTGTATTTATTAATAACACTCTTGGAAGTTTTTCGCGATAACAAGAGGAACATATATATTAAAATGGTCATGTGACCTTGGGGCTCTTCTCATGCATGCCGAGATTCTCGTTTGGTGCCACAGAAGTTTGATAGTCCGTCTATAGGTGCATTGGAGTAACGTGGGACAGATGTAATCAAATACAATTACAGCGATTTCTAGTGACAAAACTGAGCCCCTAAGCGTAATACTGGATTCTTGCAATTGACGCAATTTCGCTGTATTGAATATGATTGTAAAATAACTGTTCCAAATTGTATTACCAATGGCACCACTGATGTTATTTTAATTGTTCTAATTGTACATACTTGGATTTGATACATGTAGGCTACGTAAACAAGTTATGTTGATTAGTTTCATTACTAGATCGCGAAAAATAAGAAAAGAAAAAGCTAAACCTCAGGAGCGAAATAGCGTTTCAGTTATCGCAGAAGGAGGTAGATAATGAACCTTTATTCAATTAAATATTATTGCCCTTTTTGATAACTTGAAGGCAAATAAAATGCATACACAATGCCATACATAGAAGAAATATTTGGATTTGGAACTACACACTCTCAACTAAAGCAAAAGTCAAGCTCTTCTGACTCCTAGCGACTGTTTAATGTAAATTGTCGAATTGTTTACAAACGCGAGGTATTCGTTTGTTAGTTGTGTGTGGTAACTAGTCCTGAATGAGATGTGTTCTCCTCCTTAACAACACACTGTTTACATATCGTCCGTTCTATAGGAGGTCTCCTTATCATCCCTGATGTTCATTCTAGGTAAGGTTTACATAGTTTGAACTTAGAATAAATCACATTTAGTTGTCATACTGATAAGTCAACACAGGCGCTGGGTATACCCGAAAGGATTATCAATGTAATGTAAAGCACAATATATTCGATTTCTCAAGACGTTTATGATAAAACTGGAGTCAGTGACAGGGAGGGAACCGTCCAGATGGAAAATCTGAAGGACATTCATACATCCGGATTTTTCTGTAGTAATGTTAGTAAATATGTACACCCATGAGCAGCTCTGGGAACACACGCAGAGAAGCTAAAACACAGTCTATTGAGATTCACACTAGGATAGTTTTTATATGCAGCACTGATATCAACATATCTTTTTTACAAAATACATGTATATCTGACTATATTTGTCAAACTAACAGACTTGATATGTAATCTCACTCACAGCTAAACTTTACATTGAAAGTGATGCTATTATTTATAGTGTCATGATCACTCTGCTAATAAGTATTGATACTGGTGTATAACTATCTTCACAACATCTCTGGAATTCGACTGGACTGGATGGAATTTATGAGTGAACTATTCTATAACCTGTTCTAACAATTTCATAGTTACATGAATATTCTATAGTGCTTTGTTAAATAAATTTTAAGAGAATCAACTCCAATAATATATAATAATAACTACATTTTCTCATATGATTCCATATCATATTCTGAAATTTTACTTTTTTTTTTATTTATCCAGTGGGTGGACGGCCAATGTGTTTATACACAGGGACTTTTGGGCCTGTATCCCTGCGATTCTATGTAGGATGGGTTGTCAACAAATACACATGATTTATTTAATTGTTAATATCCAAAACAGAAAATGTTTGAATAATAGATGAAACATGTTCATTTCACAAGCTAAATAAATTGTAAATAAGTTTGGAAAGGACTTAAATAGTCATAGCGTGATGTCCAATCCAATTGACATATATGAAGTCAATCAAATCTGTTGAAATTGAAATTGATTTTTTTTAATCTTATTACAAAGTATTTACGGTAGGTTTAGTAGCTATTAGTAGATCTACAAAGTATATACGGTAGGTTTAGTAGCTATTAGTAGATCTACAAAGTATATACGGTAGGTTTAGTAGCTATGAGTAGATCTACGAAGTATATACGGTAGGTTTAGTAGCTATGAGTAGATCTACAAAGTATATACGGTAGGTTTAGTAGCTATGAGTAGATCTACAAAGTATATACGGTAGGTTTAGTAGCTATTAGTAGATCTACAAAGTATATACGGTAGGTTTAGTAGCTATTAGTAGATCTACAAAGTATATACGGTAGGTTTAGTAGCTATTAGTAGATCTACAAAGTATATACGGTAGGTTTAGTAGCTATTAGTAGATCTACAAAGTATATACGGTAGGTTTAGTAGCTATTAGTAGATCTACAAAGTATATACGGTAGGTTTAGTAGCTATTAGTAGATCTACAAAGTATATACGGTAGGTTTAGTAGCTATTAGTAGATCTACAAAGTATATACGGTAGGTTTAGTAGCTATTAGTAGATCTACAAAGTATATACGGTAGGTTTAGTAGCTATTAGTAGATCTACAAAGTATATACGGTAGGTTTAGTAGCTATTAGTAGATCTACAAAGTATATACGGTAGGTTTAGTAGCTATTAGTAGATCTACAAAGTATATACGGTAGGTTTAGTAGCTATTAGTAGATCTACAAAGTATATACGGTAGGTTTAGTAGCTATTAGTAGATCTACAAAGTATATACGGTAGGTTTAGTAGCTATTAGTAGATCTACAAAGTATATACGGTAGGTTTAGTAGCTATTAGTAGATCTACAAAGTATATACGGTAGGTTTAGTAGCTATTAGTAGATCTACAAAGTATATACGGTAGGTTTAGTAGCTATTAGTAGATCTACAAAGTATATACGGTAGGTTTAGTAGCTATTAGTAGATCTACAAAGTATATACGGTAGGTTTAGTAGCTATTAGTAGATCTACAAAGTATATACGGTAGGTTTAGTAGCTATTAGTAGATCTACAAAGTATATACGGTAGGTTTAGTAGCTATTAGTAGATCTACAAAGTATATACGGTAGGTTTAGTAGCTATTAGTAGATCTACAAAGTATATACGGTAGGTTTAGTAGC